TTTACCTGTGGATTGTTGCTATTTTAACTCGCCACGGACGTCAGGCAGAGGTGGAGGCACAGTGACTGTTTACAAAAAGGATTTTAAATGTAAGCAGTGTTTTCTACAGCCTCCGTTCTCCAGCTTTGAACACACCTCCTTCAAGGTGAGTCGTACAAACCCGGTTTTCTGCGCTGTCATCTATCGCCTCCCGAAATACAATAAGAACTTCATAAACTACTTTTCTGATTTTTTAGCTGAGATTATGCCCAACTATGATAGAGTTCTTATTGTTCTTATTGTTTTAATATACATGTATGTTGTCCTGATAAGCCACTGGTAAAGGACTTTTTAAGCCTTATTGACTCTTTTAGTCTGGTACAGTCCGTACGTGGCCCTACACATGAGCACTGACACACACTGGACCTTGTTCTGCCATATGGTCTGCCTGTCACTGACTTGGAGATTTGTGACTGTGCACTCTCAGATCATATGCCGGTGTTATTCAACGTTGGTTTGACATATACCGCAGTTAAATCTGGTGCTGCTACTCGGTGCTGTCGGGTTATTAACCCCGCCACTGCTGCACAGTTTTCTGCTGCTTTTAATCAGCTCGGCGGCCCTTCTGACTTTGTCTCCTCTGACACAGAAGAGCTAAATTCCTGGTTCAATTCTTGCTGTCAAAAAATCATGGACTCTGTGGCTCCTTTAAAAACCAGGCAGCCTAAGGCTAAACCTGAGCCTTGGTTTAATGAGAGCAGTCGTGCTGTTAAGAGGGAATGTCGTCGAGCAGAACGGAGATGGAAAAAGGATAAACTGCATGCATCATTTCAAATTCTCAAAGACTGCTGGCATCGCTACCAGAACACTGTTAAAGAGGCAAAAAGGGAATATTTTGCAAATATTATTTTATCCAACTGTCATAACCCACGTGTGTTATTTAGGACCATTGACACTGTTCTTAATACTCCTTTGAATGTCTGTTTGGAAGTTTCTCCTGAGATTTGCAATGATTTTCTGAACTTTTATTGAAAAGTTGCTAATATATGATCTTATTTCTGTGTATAACTGTGTGTCATCTGCATACAGTCAGTCCTACATCCACGTCTTTACTGACACTTTGTTTCAGTTTTATGTTATTTTAATTTTTAATGTTTCTTGTTGCATTCATTTCATTCATCCAGTTTTTCAGATTCTTTTTTAATTTTATGACTTAAATGTTGATTTTTTTTCAGCATTTTCTGGCTTTTCACCAGAACAGCTGTGAGGTGATGCATCGCAGCTCCAACCTCTGATGTGTTTGTACAGAGGAAACAACACATTTATCATCTTATTACTGAGTGAACACGACACTGATCCATGCAGGTGGGAGTTCAGCTCTGTGAAACTCACCTTATGTCAGACATCATAACACTGAAAAATAATGATGATGATGATGATGAGGTTACCTTCACTCCGTCGGCCTTCTTGTTGCTCCCACTCTTTCCTCCTGAGCGAGGGATGAGAACAAAGAGAGAGAGAAGTAGCAGGGTCAGGAAGAAAGGAACAAAAGCAGCAAACAGGAAAGACGGCATCGTACCCAGGACCTCTGCCCACGTGCCCTTCAGCCGGCGGTCTGATCGCAGCACAGACTGAAGACAGTGGGTCACATGTCGGAGTAAAAATACTCAGACTTCCTGCTGCAGATTCAGGGAGTTCCCGGCGTGACATGTGGGTCGCTCAGTGAGCGGCGAGGCCAAATTTAGGACCAACTTGAGATAGTTGGAGAGCAGAAAGTGTGCACGCATTCCTGAGCGTCCACGCTGAACACGTGCATCTGGAAACAC